CAGTTGACTATCTTCAGCTGGGTTGCCTGCTTGTGCAGGCGCTCGGCAGTGTCGCTGGCGACGGCGGCGAAATAGTCCATGACTACGTAATCAAAGACGCGAAACCGATCAAGGGCCTCCAGGAAACAAACCGCGAGATTCGAATCTGGAACATCTGGCGAGCTCTGAAGATGTCGGATCCTGCACCGCACTTGCTTGGTCTGGGCAACGCTGATGGGCCTCGTGAGGGTCTTGAGGACCTGGGCCAAGGCTCTCCACCACACAGCTTGAGGGCTCAGACGTGGAAAAGGAACTGGAGCAGGCCGGCTCGGTCGACACCACCCAGTACGAACATCACCACCACGCCCAAGGTACGGTTTCGAAAGCTCAGCGGGAATCTGATACACCTCTAACCATTCAAGCTCGGCAGCCGAGACGAAAACTTGCCACGACTTAGATATACTAGCATTGCTCATCATCTCCGACGCCACCTCCCACCTGGCTAAGTTGGGCTCTCCACGGCAACCAATGGGCAACTCTCTGGGGAACCTGCGGGGAACCATAGCCATGCGCACCGAGGGTACAGTGTCCAAGGTGGGTAACTTCAACTTAACTGGAATATGTGGAGTGATCTCCACTTCTGCCAACAGTGAGACCGAGGCGTTCGCCGCAAACGCCTGGGAGACAACGAAAAAATCGATGGTCCTGTGCGCTGGAGCACAAGTTCCAGCATCCGTGTATATGGCAGCACCGTCGATTGCATCAATCCAGCCTGAATGCTGGAGCACGTCGGGCTCGAGATTAAAGTCCCCGAAGATGAGGAACGGCATGTTGGCCATTTTCAGCAGCGCGCCTAGCCTGCAGAGAAGATCCCAGTTGGCTGGCGCAAGTCCGACAGAGTGATGCAGATAGAGCGTGCACGCTAGGAAACCCCCAGGTACGAGACCTCCCACATGCATAACCATCATCCTCCCCACCTGCACGTCGATCGGAAAGCTCTCAATCGGCGCCAGGCCGATATGCTTTGGCACAGCAAGCATGATGCCAGCAGATATGCCGCCTCCAGCCGTCTGACGGGCTGGCGAAAGTTTGGCTCTCCACCCTTGTCGCCTGAGTTTATGCTCACAAGCTTCAACCTCCAACACCCGCGTTTCCTGCACACCGACCAGCTGAGCCTGGAGCACAGAAGGGGAGGAGAGGAAAATGTCAAGCCCAGAGCGATCAGTAACATTGGCAGAGACAATATTCCAAAACCTCGGGGCCTTTGGCCCCATTGCGCATCTAGCCGCACGGCTAAAGGCGCTTGCGTTTGAAATCAGCACCAGCCTCATCGAGCGCAGCCTCCAGCTGCGATCGAGTGATGCCGCTCTCACCTGCAGAGCTGACGAGCTTGTCCATCCAGTCGCCCTGCTTGAGGTTGCCGATGGCTGCATCCATGTCGAGGTCGTGATCGCCTGCAGCGTCGCTGGTATCAGCAGCAGCACCACCAGCATCACGCTCATCATGATGACGATCTGCCGCCTCAGCACGAGCTTTAGCAGCCGCCGCTTCCTCCTCATCCTTCTTGGCCTTCTGGCGTGCCTCCGCGACCTGCTTGATCGAGTCGACCACGCCCGCCTCGACCCCCAGCTCACGCAGCTGCTCCACAAGGTATGCAGCATGGTCAGCAGGCTGAGGCCTGGAGGCACGCCCGAGCTCGGAGAAGGCGCTGGCAGCAGCGCGGGCCGCCTCGAGCTCCTTGGCCTCAAGCTCCATGAACTTCGCCTTGAGCTCCGCCGTCTTCTGCAGCTGCTTGGCCAGCAACTCCTGAGACTTCTCCCAGGCGTTCTTGGCCTTGGCGACCTGATCTTTGAGCGTGTCGTGCTGCTGCTTGGCCTGTCGACTGAGGGCCAGCGGGTCGCCTGTCTGCACGGCTCGCAGCCCCAGCAGGTGCGCCTTCTGACCAGGCGACAGCCAGATGCTGCAGGCCTCGAAGTGCTCGGCGGACATGGCAAGCAATGCGTCCTTGCGCTCAGGGGTGAGCTTGCCGCCGCTTGCGCCAGGCCCTTGCCCAGCACCAGGTGAGCCTCCTTGTGGCTGCAGCCGAGGAGGACGAACCCAAGCACCAGCAGGAGGGCGCGGCACAGCCGGTGCAGGGACCGCTCCTTTGGGCTTGCCACAAGCCCAGCACGTCGTACGCCATGGGAAATTGTTGCCGAAGCCGCACTTCTTGTTGCAGCAGGTCCAGGTCGCACTGAACGCCTGCTGCCTGCCGCCGCCATTGCGCCCCATGGGACCTGACGGCCGCAGAACTTACAGCAGCAGACTGTAGGCTGTGAGCGAAACGAATGAAAGAGAGATCGCAGGATCACTGGCAGGGGCGCGCCTCCCCCACGCCAAAAAGGCCTCGGTCCCTGAGCGAAACGCTACGGACTTGAGCCAAAATGGCTTGAGCCAAAATGGCTACGGATTCCGCCTCCTCCTCCTCCTCCTCCTCCTCCTCCTCCTCCTCCTCCTCCTCCTCATCATCATCATCATCATCATCATCATCATCTCATCATCATCATCTCATCATCATCATCATCATCACATCATCATCATCACCATCATCATCATCATCATCATCATCATCATCATCATCATCATCATCATCAGCATCATCATCATCATCATCATCATCATCATCATCATCATCATCATCATCATCACCAGCATCAGCATCAGCATCAGCATCAGCATCAGCATCAGCATCATCATCATCATCACCACCACCATCATCATCATCAGCATCATCATCATCGACAGCAGCAGCATCAGCATCATCATCATCAGCATCATCGTCATCATCAGCATCAGCATCAGCACCATCAGCAGCAGCAGCAGCATCATCATAATCATCATCATCATCATCAGCAGCAGCAGCATCATCATCATGATCATCAGCATCATCATCATCAGCATCATCATCACCATCACAATCATACGCATCATCATCATCATCCTCATCATCAGCGGCATCGTCATCATCATCAGCAGCAGCATCAGCATCAGCATCATCAGCATCTTCGGCATCATCATCAGCATCGTCATCATCATCATCATCGTCATCAGCATCATCATCACCATCATGATCATCATCATCCTCATCATCATCATCATCATCATCATCCTCATCATCAGCAGCATCATCATCAGCATCAGCAGCATCATCAGCATCATCAGCATCATCATCAACATCATCATCGTTGTCGTCGTCATCCTCCCTCTCCTCCTCGTCGTCATCCTACTCCTCCCACCGAATGTGCGTGGCAGGCAATTCCGAGGCAATTCCTCCTCCTCCTCCTCCTCCTCCTCCTACTCCTACTCCTACTCCTACTCCTACTCCTACTCCTACTCCTACTCCTCTCTCCTCCTCCTCCACCTCCTCCTCCTCCTCCTCCTCTTTCTCCTCCTCCTCCTCCTCCTCCTCTCCTCCTCCTCCTCCTCCTCCTCGTCCTCCTCCGCCTCCGTCCTCTCCTCCGCCTCGTCCTCCTCCTCTTTCTCCTCCTCCTCCTTCCCTCCTCCTCTTTCGCCTCCGCCTCCTCCTCCTCCTCCGCCGCCTCCTCCTCCTCCACTTCCTCCTCCTCCTCCTCCGCCTCCGCCTCCGCCTCCGCCGCCGCCTCCGCCTCCACCTTCTCCGTTCCCCCTCCTTTACCACATACCTCTTCATCGCCCTCCCTGCTCCTTCAACACGGGTACGGATGCCGCACCGTCTTCCTGTTTCTGTCATGGCGATGGTGTGGCACCATGTCTGCGACCTCCTCCGCCGCCTCCTCCTCCTCCAGCCTCCGCCTCCGCCTCCGCCGCCGCCTCCGCCTCCACCTTCTCCGTTCCCCCTCCTTTACCACATACCTCTTCATCGCCCTCCCTGCTCCTTCAACACGGGTACGGATGCCGCACCGTCTTCCTGTTTCTGTCATGGCGATGGTGTGGCACCATGTCTGCGACAGACCTCTTCCAGCGGATGTGGCGGGAATGGTGGGTGGTGAGAAGGTGTTGGTTTTCCCGTCGGAAAGGGCTCCGATCTTCTCCCTCACTGCCTGATCTGCACCTGCGGTTGTTTGACAGCGGAGGAGTTGGACCAGGTGGAGCCCTTGACAGCCGAGCTTCGGGCTCCCTGCCTGTACCAGCCCCGCCCGACCCTTCCTTTACGATGACCGCGGTGTGTTGCGCCAGGGAGGGCTTTGAGCTGCATCTGATTATGTGCACCATCCTGCGGTGTTGGTCGGCGCATGGGACGTCGCTGTGTGACCGAGGTGAGGCTGCGGCACTCCTGGGGCGTTCAGCGAGATGCCCGCTCGCTGGAGCGGAAGTCTTTGCGGGGATGCATCCGTCGTGCAAGGGCGATTGATCTCTTGGCGCCCGGTGCCGACCTGCTGAAAGTGTCCGTACCCGCGGATCTGCACGCGCCCCTGGCGGGCCATACGCCAGCCTCCTCCTCCACCTCCTCACCCTCCCGTGTCCCTTCTCATCTCTCCCTCCTTCCCCTCCTCCTCCTCCTCTTCTCATCATCCTCATCCTGTTCATGTTCGTAGTTATGCTTAGTCGTACGATTATTATTGGCGTTAATAGGTATTATTATTATCCGTATCAGTATTGTTATTAGTTGTCGTTGTACTAATCTTATTTCTAATACTATTGGCAGCATTACTAGTATTAGTAACAGACTTCATATTCGTATCGTTCGTCTTCATAGTTTTCTTCTTACTCGTAAAACTGTTCTCCTCATGATCATCACTACTCTTATCATTATTAGTATCACTAATAACAGCACTATTGTTATCATCATTGATATTCCTCCTCCTCCTCCTCCTCCTCCTCCTCCTCCTCCTCTGCCTCCTCCTCGTCATCTTCGTCCTCCTCCTCTTCGTCCTCCTCCGCCTCCTCCTCCTTCCCCTCCTCCTTCTCCTCTTCCTCCTCTTCCTCTTACTGTAGCATTATCATCCCTCCTCCTCCTCCTCCTCCTCCTCCTCCTTCTCCTCACGTGGGGAGGTAACAAAGTCCTGCTGCCCGCACCCGCCGAACATGGGGGCCTGCTTCGCGATGCGCTCGCGCAGCTGCGCGGGGCTGAAGGGGCCCTGCCGAGGCACAAGAGGAGGGCTTTGCAGTCTGCGGCCCACGAAATACGGGAAGAGCAGAAGCGAGGGGAAACTGGAGGGAAGGACCAGGAGGAGGAGGACTATAGAAAAACCCGGGACGCATCGACGATGCCGCCGCACACCCTCCCGTCGCAAGCCCCCTCCTTCTGCTTCCCTGCACGCCTCCTTCTCACTGCGGGATGCGCGAGTAGAAGAGGGAATGGGGAGGGGGAGGGGCGAGGAGGGAGCGAGGGAGGGAAGGGGGGGATCAAAGGACCCTGCCCTGACGTCCTCCGACATCCGTTTCTCGATCCGCGGCCTCAGGGCTCCCGACCCCTCTCTCTGGGGATGGGCGTCCGTCCTGCATGCATGATGTGAAGCTCCCGAAAACTCCTCCCGAGGGCCGACATCGACTTCCCCCCCGGGCTCGCCAACGACTCACGTGGAGGCCTTCAGAGGCAGGGGTGGTCTCAGCCGTCTGGATGGCGGAGCCGAGGTCAGCACGAGGAGCCCGCAGGAGCTGCGACCCCTTTTCGTCGTCCTCCTCCTCCTCCTCCTCATCCTCCCCCCACCTTAGCCTCCTCATCCTCCTCTTCCTCCTCTTCCTCCGCCTCCGCCTCCATTTCCGCCTCCGCCTCCGCCTCCGCCTCCGCCTCCGCCTCCTCCTCCCCCTCCTCCTACTCATATTGTTCCTCGTCCTTATTCCTCCTGCACTTCCTCCTCCTTTTCCTCCTCTTCCTCCTCCTGCTCCTCCTCCTCCGCAGCATCCGCCGCCTCCGCCGCCCCCTCCTCCTCCTATTGGTCCTCGCCCTAATCCCTCCTGCACCGCCTCCTCCTTCTCTTCCTCCTCCTCCTCCTCCTCCGCCTCCTCCCTCTCCACCTCCTCCTCCTCCTCCTCCTCCTCCTCCTCCTCCTCCTCCTCCTCCTCCTCCTCCTCCTCCTCCTCCTCCCCTTCCTCCTCCTCTTACTAGTATTATTTCTAATAGCATTAGTAGTTTTAGCCGTATACATCGAAGTAGCATCAGTATGCTTAGTAGTAACAATAGTAAACTTGTATGATTACGACTATGCGTAGAAACAGTATTAACCGTCGTATCAATAATACCATCATAGATATCAGGTAGTTAGTACTAGCATGAATAGTAGCATTACTATTATTAGTGTGCTGCTTATTCTACGCATTCGTATCATTATTCTCTGTAGTAATATTCGTTTGTGGTATAGTATCATGAATATGAGTATTCTTACTACAAGAATTACCGCTGTTTCGTAATAGCATTATTCATATTGTCAATACGGGTACTTCTTATCTGAATAAGAGAAATATTATTATGCGTATAAATAGTATTGTGCCTCCACTCATCCTGCTCCTGCTCCGCCTTCTCCTCCTCCCCCATAGGAATCAGATCAGTGTTATTGTAATTATGATCGCTCACATTATTATTGGTATCACAAATGCCCTGACAGTGTTATTCGCATGATTCTTAGAATGTCGGTTATCAGTCGCGTTCTTCTTCGTATTATTATGATGATTCGTATTATTAGTATTCTTAATATGTTTAACTAGCAGGCTTTATGTTTTAATCGTATGTGTATGCTTATTGCTTTTCGTTGTCCTCCTCCTCCTGCTCCTCGTTCTCCTCCTCATCCTCTTTCTCCTCCTCATCATCTTTCTCCTCCTCCTCCTCCTCCTCCTCCCCCTCCTCGTTCTCCTCGTCCTCCTCCTCCGTTTCCGCCTCTTCCTCCCCCTCGTCCTCCTCTGCCTCCTCCGCCTCCTCCTCGTCCTTGCCTGTTTTGGTTTAGTATGAGTAGTATTAGTATGGTGCTTAGTAGTAGTACAACGATGAGTAGTGACATTCTGATTACTAATATGAAAAATTACTACGATGTGCATCCGTATGATTAGTATCCCCAAGTGCACGATTAGTGTTAGCATGATGGTTGGTGAAGGTAGTAGTAGTAGTATTAGTACTAGTAGAAGTAATAGCAGTAGTAGTAGTAGTAGTAGTAGTAGTAGTAGGTAGCAGTAAGAGTAGTAGTAGTAGTAGTGGTAGTAGTAGTAGTAGCAGTAGCAGTAGCAGTAGTAGTGTCAATGTAATTAGTACGCGAAATAGCCCCATTCTTAGTAGCATTAGTTTCGTGTTTTATGCTTGGACTTTCTATTACAATCATTCGTGGTCGCTCTAGTATTGGTTGTCTTTAGTAGTTGTACACTTGTTAGCGCTGATACTAATAGCATACGTGTTAAAGTATTAGTGTGTTTCGTCTTATCGGAATCATTACAAGTCGAGATGTTATACTTGTCATCGTATTAGTAGCCTTCGTCTTGCTACCCGTATCTACATGGATAGTATTAGTTCTTGTCCCATTGCCAGTAATATGGTTTGTTGGTTCTTCGCAGCCTGAATAAATACAATACTAGAATTAGCAATCCTGTTCTTATATGCGTATCAGTGTGTTGTTTCCCTTCTTTCTGGTGCACCTTTCCCCGCCCCCCTCATCCTCCTCTTCCTCCTCCTCCTCGCTCTCCTCCTCCTCGTCCCCTCTCCTCCTCCTAGCCTTCCAGCCATCCTCGCCCCATATCCCTCCTGCACCTCCTCCTCCTCATCCTCCTCCTCTGTTTCCGCTTCCTGATCCTCTCCCGTGTCCTCTCCCCTTCCTCTTCCCCCTAAGCATCATCCACGCCGCATCATCATCAGCATCATCATCATCATCATCATCATCATCATCATCATCAGCATCATCATCATCATCATCATCATCATCATCATCATCATCATCATCATCATCATCATCATCATCATCATCATCATCATCATCATCATCATCATCATCATCATCATCATCATCATCATCATCATCATCATCAGCAGCATCATCATCATCACCATCACCACCATCAGCATCAGCATCACCACCATCAGCATTAGCATCATCAGCATCATCATCATCAGCATCATCATCATCATCATCATCATCATCATCATCACCATCATCATCAACATCACCATCATCATCGTCGTCATCATCATCAGCTGCATCATCATCGTCAGCAGCGTCATTGTCAACATCACCATCAGCATCAGCATCATCATCATCACCACTACCATCAGCATCATCAGCAGCAGAATCAACATCAGCATCATCACCGTCATCGGCATCATCTATAGCAGCAGCAGCATCATCGTCATCACCACCAGCATCGTCATCAATAGCAGCATCACCATAATAATCATCATCATCATCATCATCATCATCATCATCATCATCATCATCATCAGCATCAGCATCAGCATCGGCACCATCATCGTCCAAGCATCCGAATCACCATAATCAGCAGCAGCATCAACATGAGCATCCTCATCCTCATCACCATATGCTTCTTACTCCTCCTCCTCCTCTTCATCCCCATCACGATCACCATCACCATCAGCAAAAGAAGTAGAATCCCATTCATGCTCATTACCCTCCACATCACCATCATCGACAGTCGCAGCCAACACCACCGCCGTCATCTGTTCACCATCGTCGTCATCAGTATCCTCATCAGCAGCATCATCAGCATCACCGTCGCGCCATCATCGGTCACTATGTAAATCATACATCGTAAACTCTACCGCTATCAACACCGACAACAGCATAGTTCGTCAGTGTCAACACCACAAGCATCAGCGTTATTAGAACCGGCATCATCATCAGCAGCATCATCAGCATTACCATCACCATCATCTTCATGAGCAGCAGCATCATTACCACCACCACCACCACCACCATCATCATCATCATCTTCATCGTCATGATCAGCAGCATCAGCATCATCTTCCGCCTCACCACCACCATCGCCACCGTCACCATCGACAACATCAGGGATCACCATCCGCATTAGCATCCGCATAATCATCACCGTCATCATGACTCCGACTGCTCTTTTCCTGACTACTGCTTGCGGGGGCGAGTGAGCTCAAACCAGATACGCCCCAGCCTTTTGGAGGTCGGAGGGTTTTGGGTGAACCAAACAGCCTGTGAGCAACAGACGGACGTCAAGGTCGGGACACTACCGCGGGGCACGCGCATGACTCCGACTACTCTTTTCCGGACTACTTCTTGCGGAGACCGAGTGAGCTCTTCTTCAAACCGAATCTGCCCACTTCCAGGACCCCCGTAACGAGCACGGGTGCGGCGAATTGCATTCGACGACTCTGTAACTATAGCACATTAGCTTACGACTTGAGACAAGAATCCCCCCGAGGCCCGAGATTAATTAAAGGAGAGGGAAGGAGGAGAAAACAGGCTAGAACTGACGCGCATGCGCACCCCCCGGGAAATTAGCGAAAGCCTGAGATAATACGGGGCGAAGCGTCTCGGGATATACCTGTTTCTGACGAGCATGAAACCCTCCCCCTCCAAGCGGCCCGCTTTAGTGATAGCGAAATTTCGCTAACAACCTACATTTACCTCGACTTATAAGCTTTCGCCAACATAGCACATCTCACGCTGGAAAACTGAAGCCTGGCTCCGGTTCTCTACGGGGCGGCGAACGCGCAATAATCTATCACGTAGCAGGTGCGCGAGGGACGGCGAGACACGTCAGGGCGACCGCGAGCTAGCTAGAGATAAGACCGAGCGAGATTCTCTTCACCACAAGGAGAGCCACGAACGACACAGGCCTGCAACAACACCCCCCTTCTGTGGGCCAACAAGTTACCTACCGAAACGCCTTTCTGTCTCGTTCACACAAGTTGGGAGAGCCAGCCGGATACTAACGAGAGAACGACGGCAAAGGGCAAAGCGAGACCACTTTGGGGCGCGATGCGCCATCGTAAAGCTCTGACAGGGCGTTCCAGACCACATTCCAAATACAATGCCCGACTTGACCCACCCGAGCAGCATCAGGAATACCTCCTCATTCAACAAGTCATATTGAGGCCCGCGACAGATATCAATACAGATGACCGACACATCGCGACTGGCCAACGCCATGCCACAGGCGCCCGAGCCAGAGAACAACTCCATGAAGACCCCCCGCCCGCATGGCCGCGGCCGCGCAAGAATCAAGGGGCCCAGGGGCGCACAGGAAAATATTCACACAAATCCCAGGACCCCCCCCCCCCATGTTCTCCATATGTTTTGGATGTTCGCCTTCCCTCCACTTCGCAAATTTTCGCGTAGCTTCCCGGGAATCGACGAATAATTATGTCTGCGCGTTAAACACCCCTTCTGAAAGAGCTGCGCACACCGCGCGGCGAAGGGCCCGACGCCGCGCTCCACGACCCTCGCGTCACCAAGGCCGACGCCGGGAGCTCGCCGAGCTACCGCGAGACCCGCGCGCGCTCGTCGTCGCGAGCATCGCTGCGGAAGCTCCGCCAACGCCCACACCGCTGCACTTCGGAGAGGGAGCGCTCCTGCACGAGGCGGTCGCGGCTGGAACTCCCGCGCCTCAGCGAGCACGGCGTCGGCTCGACCGAGGAGACCCCCAGCTCGCCCGCGGCGCCCGCGAGGGGCCAGCGCTACTCCCGCGAGCTGACGTCGAGCGGGCGATCGCCCCGACCCCGACCGCCCTTCAAAGCCCGCAGGGCCAGCGCGAGCAAGCGGTGGCGGCCCGGGTCGGGCAGCGCGCCGAGGTCGAACTCCCGCCCGGGTCTTGGGCGGGCGCCCAAGCTCCCCCACGCGCACGCGCAAGCCCCGGAAGGCCCCCTGTCCTCGGCTGCCCGCGGGCGGGGCCAACTGCGCCGCCGCGAGGCTGCAGTGCCCCGAGGAGCGCGCGTAGATCTCGAGCGCCACGATGATAGCCAGGGCCCCCGCGCGGCCGCGAGGCAGAATGGCCGAGGCCAGAGCCAGCACGACGCCCCACGGAAGCGGCGCCCGGCTGCGCGCCAGCCGAGGCTGGCGCCAACCCAGCAAAGCCGCGCGCGCCCCTGGAGAGGCCCGGCGCAAGGGCCCCCCGAGCGTCGGCTGCGCCCGGGCCACCGCGGCCAGCAGGCGCCCAGCAAGGGCCCGAGCCCACTCCACGAAGCCGAGACGGCGCTCGCCACAGTGCACCACCGACCAGGCGGAGGGCGGACGTCGGCCAAGGTAGTCCGCCAGCTGCCCCAGCACGAAGCCGTAGCCCCGCTGCGCGGCAGGGCGACCCCGCCCTCGCTGCAGGACGCTCTGGAGAGACGCCAGCAGCATAACCAGCCGCCGCACCGACTCGCGCAGGCGGCTCGAGCCTGGGAGGGCGACCTGGCCAGAGCCGCCCAAGCGGGAGCCCAGGTGCCTCCCACCACCGCGGGCGGGCCGGGAGCCCGACAGGGCGCTCGGCCCAACGCCCCCGCTGCCCCCGCGGCGACCGCGGGGGGGCAGGCCGTCGAAACAGCCCAGGCCGGCGTCGTCCGCGACGTCGGAGTCAGGGGGGTCATCGAGCCACAGCTGCGCTGCAGGCAGGAAGCCGGTATAGGGCGCGGAAATCGCCCGCCGCCTCGCCGCCGCGATGTGGCCCCGCGACGTGGCCGGCGAACGCCACTGGCCGCGCCCGAAGCGCCCCGCTCGGACGGGGCCCACCCACCGAGCAAGTTCACGGCAGGTGTCGAAGAACGCCCTTTGGCGCGAGCACAAATCACATACATACATGTCATCGCCCAGCAGCAGCACGCGCGCGTCGCGAAGTACGCAGCCCCGAGCGACGCGCCATGCCGCCCACGCCCGAGCACGAGCCCCCAGATGCACCCGCGACCCCAGGGCGCCCCCCCTGCGACCAGCACGGGCGACGCCCCAGTCCTGGGAGCGAAAGTCGGCGGAGACCTCTTCGAAACACCGACCGCGGCCCAGCCCCCGGACTGTCGCCTCAGAAGCCTCCGAAACCTCTGCCCCCCCCCCCCCCCGATGAGCCCAGAACCCGAGACAGATGACCGCGAAACCGAGCTCGCTCTCGCACTCGACTGGCGACCGCAAAAGCATCAGGATCACAGCGCGCGTCCACAACGCCAAAGCACCGGGGAGACGCATCGCAGCCAAACGCTCGACCTGCCCAGGGTCGCCGCACAAGCGCGCAAGAGGAAGCAGATCACGACTCCAGCGGGTCTCGCGAGGCACGGACGGCCAGAGGGGTCGGCGCCGAGCATAAAACTCGCGGGCGAAAACATAAACCTTCTCCACGAGACACAACAACTATGGGGCCAGAGAGAACAGGGCAGCGACATGGCCAACGAAACGCTCCAGCCCCTGACCCGCGACCCCGACCGCCGAGCCCAGAAGGTAGCCATTCGCCAGCTTGAGCTCCCAGAAGCGGCTCGCTTTGGGCCGCCAATCCCCCCGGACACCCAAGAGAACGAACCCGACAGTGTCGCGCCCCGCCGGGCCCGGCGTCTCCGGCGACGCAGTGACACCACAGGGCGCACCGCAGACTGCGCGCCCAGGGCCGCGCCCGAGGTAGCGCGCGAGGTCTTG